GCGTGTTCCACGCTTATTTGGCGAGTCGGGTAGCTACTTGTCGCGTCATTACGCTCGGTAACGGTAAACGGCGTGCACATCGGTAAGTTCCTCGAGTTTACGCGGGCTGGAAGGCGTGGAAAGCGATCGGTATACGGTCGGATATGCAAATCCGGGTGAAACCCGCTTTAAAACGGAGCGAGAGGGTGTAACGCAGAAATTGGAAAGCGGCCGGCGAATATTCGCGAGCGATTTGCACTCGCTGCTTACACGCTTCCAGATACCTATGTATTTGCCTACCTGCCTGTCCGCTGCTAACAGATATCCCGAGATACGATTTCGCGTGAGAAGAGATATATCCGCGCCTACGTGATACACCTACAGTTAAACCTACGTGGACGATTGATGATTTTATTCCGGAAATATCGACGAGCGATATCGTTACGACGATGAGCAATATTTATCGCGAGTAGGCCTTTTTTTGGCGGCACGATAATGTAATGAAAAAAATTAATACATATAAATTGAGAATTTCTCCGTACAATATCGGCCAAGAAATTTCCATGCGCGTAACCGTTATCCATACTGATCCGAATCAAACAATGAAGCAAACGAGCGAACATATGTTAACAATGAAATTCCCAGGTTAATTCATCGCCCACGCTAATTTAATCCATCCGCTGGCACACCGTTTGAACAAGCCACGAACAGAGGAGATCGAGGTTGTTGCAGAAAACTCGGCTAGCCGAGTTTTCCCAGGCTCGGTTCGGGGAGACTTCTGGCCGAGGAAAACGTTCCTTTCAACGAACGAACCCAGAGCGAAACGAATCGTACTGGCATCTCTTAGGGCTATCAACGGCACCGTGCGGCTATCCAGCAGGATGTTACACGGTCAGTTTCGTATACAAACAAGAGGAAGAAAGATGCAAGCGAGCGTTATGCGATCTAGCGCGGAAGGTTTCCGTGATGGCACACCGTGGCTCTAAGATGCAGCCCCCCGAGCCGGAGATATCAATAAATAACCTATCATGCAATATTATCTCAACGGTTTTATGCCCCGTGGTACGGGGAATGCGATCCAATTCTTACATGCTCTACCGGCTCCTTTCCTCTACACCAGCCACACAATCGCTTTCGCCTCCGCGAGCGGAGATGCGAATGATCCGCCTACCATAAAGCAAGCGCATCTAACACCCATAGATTCACGGAAGACGCCTTCCACTCTTCGTGTCCCTCGATTCTACCCTTCCATCCATCAGCATTTTTCCCCAACACCGAAATTACCTAATCCAGAAATAAATTCCTAAAGCTGCGATAAGATTCATCTAAACAGAGTGAGACTGACGACGAGTCACGCTCCGTCGAATTCAACTGATCCACCGAAATCGTCGATCGCGTCAGGATACATAACCGCGAACAGGGCCGTGATAGGTGAGCTAATAAATCGTAATAATCCCGACGTACGTCGGTGCAGCGTGCAGGCAAATGCCATTAGCGTGAACTTTCGATGAAAACGGGATACGAGCTGGTGGCGGTGGCGGTGCACACGCCGCAGCCTGGCTGTACGTGCGCGTGTAGGTCAGCCTGTGGGTGCAATGCCGACGAGGTGTGGGCTTTGCATACCGCAGATCTCCGACCAACGGACTGATCCTTTCAGCGTGCAAGTTGGAGAGCACACCGAGGGTGTGTCTAACGCGGTGCACTTGCTCCGCGCACCACTACATCGTGAATTTTTTATAGATATCCAGAGGAAAAGTGTCTCTAAACGATCGGTAAGCGAAGTGGAAGCTTTCATCGATGACGAAAAATTTGATTTGGAAAATGATTAATAAATGAAAAAATGTAATATTTCGGAGGGTTTCCTCCGCTAAGAACTTCGCTGGTCGCCAGAATTTAATGTAGGAATGAAAATATCTAACGATAAGCTAATTCAATCCTCGCGACTGTCGAATAAACTACCTGTTTCCTGTCACGAGCCTCGAACTATCCGAACAATCCCAGCGATCATACACCGATTCACGTGCACCTAGTCGGCAAGGTTAATTCCCGCGGCTAGAACGGCTCGCACCGTCAGCCATGCGCGATTCTTGCTGCGATAACTTTTTTAACCAGACATCTCGCTACGTGGAATAGTCGCAGCGCATTAGACACGCCCTGCATATGCATGCACGCGCGGATGCAGGCCTGCACCACTCTCGTGCTTGAGTTTTCATGGAATCTGCTCGCTGTGGAATGCCGCGGGTCACCACCGTTGAGTGATTTCACTTGGTCGACCAGATTCCCGCTAGCGTGTATCTCTGCCTTCGAACCGCGCGTATTCCTTGCGTTTAATATTGCTCACCGAACCAATGTCTAGCATGTCATACAGACTCGGGAATTTTCGAAAAGCCATTAAAGACTTAATAAAAATAAGAAGAAACAGGTACTCGTAACTCGAGAGATCCGGCAGCCAAAATGATTCGTTCGATGACTGTCGAAAAATGTTGATCGAGGCTCTACCGTGGAATCCACGCGAAATCGAAGAGGTTCCATTCGTTTTACGGCTATTTATTATTAATTATCCGAGTGGAGGAAAACGCGCCTGACGGGATTCTGGCTTCTCCTCGATTGTCCACTTACGAGGGAGTTAATGGCTCTTTTTTGCCCGCGACTCTCTTTCCTCGTCCTTTCTTTCTTCATTGCACATGAATGAATATCGTGAAAACACCGTCGAAGGTAGACCGCAATAAAGAGTTACGTGTGTGCGTGCCTTTTGCAGCTGGGCGTGAATCGGTCGGGTTATTATTGGCGTTCGTACCGCGTGGGTGTCCGGCTACGAGCCAGCGATTCCAGCTTCGAGCGAGACACATTAAAGTTAAGTACTATTTGATCAATTCGTCGCGAGCGATACCTGGTCACCTGCTGGGGTGTACGTTGTGCAACAACATTTCAAATCCTGTCTCAAGATTATCCGCTTTACAAGATTGCCTCTAATTACTGCCATATCTTCAAACGGTGTTAAAGGATTAATATCAAGAAACGATAAATTGGAATCGAGATTTTTTTAAGATTTTCTAAAACCTTCACTAACTACAGTTCTATCTAAATTGTTTAGAAATCTTTTATCTAACAAGCCCGAGTATTTAATGTCATTGTTAAGAGTATAAAATATCTTTCAATTATAAAGTAATTTCATCGGTTGCGTTGCGATTCGAAGATATCTATGCTGGCATACAAAGTTTTCCCAGCATAGAACCGCGTCCCGTTCCAGTGTTCCTTGGCTGCCGGAACTTAGGCGAGCCGTTGTTTCAGGTAAACGTAAGACCCTTAGAAACCGGAAGCATTCGATAATTGGGATCTCATACCGTTCTCCAGTGCACGGTTGCGTCACGCCTAACTGTACACAAGCGAGTGGAAAGTATCCGTACCGGTAAGACGGTATACCGGCGAGGATCGCACTCCGCCCACGCGGTAGAGAACGTTTTCCAGAGCGTTTGTCACGGCAACGTTGTGCGGAAACGTGGCCACGCGTTCGTTGCAACCTTAGCCATGTTTTCGTATGCTTTTTCGAACGGTTCGCTAACCACGTTGAAACTAAACATACGATACAGCCTGAGCGAAGCGAAACACCATCCGTAAATTGTATTAAATTAAATCGTATGCTTTGGAATACAGTTGTTATGGTGCACCGCGTCAGATTATTTTCCATCTCGAGAAAATTTGAAATCAGATTTTAAGCCGTAAAATAATTAAATAAACGAGAGGAGAATCATGAAACGCGAGGAAATTTCCTCGTGTACCGTTCATCTGCGAGAAGATGGCTCGCGATATAGAAGAGAGGCAATGGAGGATCTTCGTTTGCTCCGCCTGACCCCACTCTTAATGTCTATCTTAATCCCCACCCATGAATTCCGGAGGCTATGCCACTGCTTTGAAATCATCGTCGCCGCATCGCTCTGATCCAATCACACTTGACCACCGATTCATTCGTTCTTCGTCAAGCGATTCGACCAATTACGAAAATACTTGTGACACGAAGCAGGGATAGTGGGGCAATATAGATCCTGCCATCTTCTCGCGGACGAATAGTAGCTAACCGTTTCATAATCCATCAAGGAGAAACGAAACGAAACACTTGGTTTCCTCGTGCGGCGATTCATTTTGCATGAGACAGCGAAGAGAAAAAGCCCTCGGTCGATTCCCTTGATCGTCGTCTAATTCAATCGAAACACCATTACAATGGCCGGTAATGTCTTCTGGCGAGCGAAGCAGCGAGACGGTGATGCAATCGCTCGTCCATAAAATCGTCGGGGCTCCGACTATCTAATCTGCCGGAGGTGGCGACTAGCAACGATAATTGTTTCACGCCGTTTTACAAGTTTCGCGTCGGTGAAACGATCGACCGGCGCAGCAGGGAATCGTTTTCTTTCACTAAGGATTTCGCAAACCAGGATACGTAGCTACGTATCGACGTTTCTTTGCTCTGAATGGGAAAGATTAACGGCCGCACGCAGATCGTTGCTTATACGAACCCGATGAAAAACAAGTAACAATGGTAAACGCGGTGAAAGACACCGGTTAAGTCCATTTGCATGCTCTCACGGTGGGTGGAAAGGTGGTGGTGTTGCGAAACGCGTGGCCAGGTTTCGCGATCGGAACAGGTGGGTTATACCGGGCGAATTAGCGGCGTAACCTGAATTTCCAACGGTCCACGATTAATGATCTCGTTCGCGTACTCGGCCACCGAGTACTCTTGTTGCCTTCGGATTTTTATCGTAATCTTTTTACCCGACCGCGTAATGCGTTTTTCGTGTCCGACGTAATCCACGCTAGACTGCCTCTCGTTACGTCCTTTTATTATGCATTGTGTATCGACTCGCCAGGTGCAGCCGTAACGTGGTTGCGCAACCGTTAATAATCGCGCGAAAATTGCTGGAAGGCTGGCAAGATTTTACGAAACGTTTTCCTACAGTTCCTTTTGTCAAAGTCAACACGACATCGTGCGATAAAAATATGAAATGATAAAAAAATAAAAATCCTACCTGATTGATGTCACTGCCCAGATCCCGTGCGCTTTTGGCGCTTCTCAGCTGATCACCACGGTACTCCCTGTACCTCATCGTCACCTCGTCATCCGTGAGAGCGCCGCTGCTGCTGCTCCTCGCGTTCTTCCTGTTCTTCTCCTCCTTCGCCTTCTTCTCCTTCTTGCTGAACAGTTGCTTCACCTTGCTCATAGTGCCACTTTTCTTCGCCGCCTTCTTCTCGTACTTTTTATCAGCACCGGACGGCGGTTTCGCGGTCACCGGCGGCGACTTCGAGACGTCGTTCGAATATTTCTCGTACTTCCGCTGCTCGGACGGAGTGAGATTCATGTTACGATCGGTGTGCTTTCGTTCCTGTTTGATGAACTGCCTGGTGACGAACCCCTCGTCCTCGGACTCGATCTGTTCCCGTCGATCGACCTCCTGCGAGTCGCGTCTATAGTCGTTCTCGATGCCGGAATCAGCCAGACGATCCTTGCGGTCGGAATCGCTCAATCGAGTTTCCCGATGCCGGCGTTCGATGTGCGTTCTGGTTTCCTGTCTGGCGTGTCTGGATTTGCCACCCTCGTGGTAAGCCCTTGGTGGCCTGGGCGGACTCTCGTCGAAGGGCTCGAGTCTGTTGACGATCGTTTTGGCGCGGCTACTGTCTCTTGTGTCGGAATCGTCGAAGTAATCTAACCGATTGCGCGATCGTCGCAGAGGTTTCTTCGGGTCTTCGTCCAGCTTTCGATGCTCCTTTCGTAGGGTACGCAAATTCTCGTCGTAACGAGCCTCGCAACGGATCGAGTCCCTGGCCGTGGTGTCGGAATCGTAGCGACTCGAATTGTAACCACCTCTGTCGGTGCGTATCCTGGGCGGAGAACTGTCGTAATCATCGTGAACCGGATGTTTGCTGCTTGTATACCGTTGAGTGGTACGCGTCTCTTTATAGTACTTGGACTCTAGTTGGCTGCTGGTCAATTGCGAGATATCGGTATCGTAATCGTCGTTCGGCCCCTCCCGTAAGCTGTCCAAGTGCCGTTTCGCGAATGGCGACCTCTCCTTTCGACCGTTCATCTCCCTCGCGTTCACGTAGTCCCCGTGGCTGGTCAGGTTCTCGTGAGACCTGGTCGTATACTCGCTCCTCAACGCCCTGACGCGCGCGTTTTCACCGACTTCGTCGAGTCGTTGGGTCGATTTACTCATTCCACGTATCGACTCCAAGTTCTTCTTCTTAGGTAGATACGGATCTCTCGGTCGAACGTCGCGATCGAGAAAGTCGTCGCTCTTCGAGAGGGACTTCCTCTCGTTACCGGTGAATTTCTTGGCGATTATCGGAGACGAAAGGACGTCGTCTCTGGGCTCGCTACGAAAACGATGAGCGACGGCAGTCCCTTCCGGATGTAAAGGGGTCGATTTATAGGGACTGCTCGAACTTCCGGGGGTTTGGTATCGTTCCTCGGGGCTGGTCCTGCTTCTGTCGCTTATAAACGGCTTGAAATCGTCCGCGTATCCTTTGTGCGTTCGCGTCTCCACGATGTACTTGTCCCCGTACTTGTCCGTTCTGGTTTCCACTTTGTAACCGTCCCTCGGTTTCGCGTCGATGTAACCATCGGTAGGGATTTTGTTGGTGATCTTCTTCTCGTAGCCGTACACTTTTCCATTGTCCTCGTGCATCTCTTTCTCGAAGATGTACTTCTCACCGTTGCTGTTCGTACGGGTCTCGGTGATGTAGGTGTCCGTGTAACGTTTCGGAGAGGCGACGCGATTCGGCGTAACCGGGGACGGTACGATCGGCTTATCAATGATCTCGTGTTCGGACGACTTCTTAATCGGCACGTTCGCGGTGTTCTTCGCGGCGAACATCTCGTCGGCCAGAAGCCTCGATTTGATCCTCGACTCGAGGAGGTCGCGTCTCGCGCTAAGTTCCGACGTCTTGTTCGATATCCCCGACTGCGTTTGCCTCGCGGTGGCAAATTCATTGTTCTCCCGTTGTCTGGCGTCCGTGCCGTCCGCTCTGCCTCTACCGGAAGCGTCGACGAACACCGTGGACGTGTACTTTTCCGGCTTGTCGTAGAGACGTCGATCGATCTCGTCGAACTCGTGGCGACGTTTCGTGTCCGCGTTCCTGGACGCGTAATCTTGCGCGGCTGGGTAATGAGCGGGAAATCGAGCGGACGCGTTTTTCCTCTCCTCTTCGTATCTCGATTTAAACGCGTTAATTTCGTTGTTGCGCCTTAGGTCGCTGCTGTAAGAGTAATCGGTCCTGCGATACTCCTTCTCCGCGGGACTGTTCTCGCGGGACGAATCCTTTCTCTCGAGGCCGAGTCCCTCGTCGCTGTCCGAGTGACTTCTCTGAGCCTTCTTCTTATCGGTCTGCACCTGAGCGTAAATCACGTTCGTCTGCGGAGGCGGCGGGCTGCAAGAGGACTCGTTCGGTCTGGTGTAGGAGAACGGTCGATTGTTGTTGTGACCGAATCCGGGCCCGGGCGAGACCATCGTTCTGGTCAGCTGCGGCGGGGGCGAGCGATCGCTGGATAATCGGTGAATCATCTTGTGTATCGTTGACTCTTCGCCGCGTTGCTGGAGATCGTATCGGCTGCTGTGCAGCATGCTACTCGTACCGACCTTGTCTACTTCGTCGAGTCCGGTGTCGTTTGCCGGTGAACGGCTACGCTGCTGTTCTACCTTCTCCTCTTTCCTTTCTTCCTCTTCCCCGCCTCTTCCGATCTTGTTATCGTCTTCTAGCTGGATAGGTATGCGTCTCACGATTCCTTTCTTCTCTCCACCCTTGGCCGATATCGATTCCTTGCCAACGTTCACTTCCGTCTCTATCACCTCTTCGACATCGGTTTCCTCCTGTTTCGACTTCTTCGCCTCCGGTCTGCTGCTGTTATTCTCCCCGGTTGACACCGCGCCGAAGTAGAACGGTTGCTGATCGACGTGTGGCGACGCTTCGATGATCGGGGACAATGGTTTTTTCGCCCGACTACCACCGAGATACGATCCTTCGCTCTCGCTGCCGCTTCTCTTGCGATGCGATCGCGACGAACTGGCCGCGTCGCTCGCGCTACGACCAACCGGCTTTCTCTTTCTCTCGAGCTTCGGTGAGAAGAATCTCGCCAAAGAGCTTTTCAGCTTCTTCGTACTCGCATCGCTCGCGCTCCTCTCCAATGACTTTTTCTTCTTCGAATTTGGCGGTGGATCGACGAGGTAACCGCTGGTGGTAGCGCCGATTTCCTCGCTCCTACGTCTCACATCGAGTGGCAGTTCCGGTCTCTTCTTGTTGCGACGCGCCGGCAATGTGCTGAACCGACCTGGCAATCGTCTGTTGTCGTGGGCGATGCAGTGAAGGCTGCCCGCTTGTTGAAGCACCAGGGCCGCCTCCTGTGCTAGGTCCTCCTTGCTTCGCGATCCTATACTCTCTTTGTGCACCGGGGTGGCGATCAACCTGCCTTCGCCATCTCCTACCAGTGCCGCAGTCACGCGGGGCGCTTCACGTTCTGCAACAGCCACATCGTTTCGTCATTTCAACCGAAAGTTTCCACCGATACCGTACAGTGTTAAGCAGCCAGTTGAAAGAGAAAATTAATTTTACATTAAACTTGAGAGTATTTCATTAAAAAAATTTCCCTCGATTCAAATTTCTTTTAACAGCTTTGCTGAAACACCCTCTATATTAAAAATCGCGTCACTGATTATACGAAGAAACGCTAAGAATAACGTTAAAGTTTTACGATTAGAAATTTTATAGCGAACACTGTAATTTAAGGGCTTCGTAAATGAACCAGCTAAAGATAGTAGGTACTACATAATAGAATGTATTCAGAGTGTACGATTAATGAAAATTTATTTAGCAATAAAATTGGTTAATATCAAGCCATTAGGTTTTTGTGATTCGTAAAGGATGAACTTTAGCGATCGTCGAATATTGTGTTACGTTAAGAGGGAAGTTGTTGGCGGATTACGAAAATCAGGAATAACGAGTTAAGGCTATGCCAAGAAACTAACGCGTTACTCGGCAATCTTGCCCGCTCATTCTCCCTCGTATTAACCTTCGCGGTAAATCGTTCAGGCATTAACTGTCATTTTTAACGCTCGCGCGGCAGTAATTTCCGACGAGCCCGCTTCCATCTAATTGCCGCGCGATTATAGTCGCGCTAAGGATGGAAAGGAGCAATTATCATTCATTCAATCTGACACTATCAATCTATTAAGAAGCTACTAATGTTGCCCGAATTTCAGCTACGGGTCTGTTCAAACGATAATCGTTAGGTCCAATTAACTCCTCGGAGCGAACCGATGTTCTTTCAACTCCACAGTAGATCGGAGCGCGGACAAAAAGATGCGTCGAGAAAAAGACACGCGAAAAGAACTGGAACTCATTCCTCGCGTCCGCAGGGCTGCTTATTAACGACAAAAAGAGAAAACGAAACGGGAACTCGCGAAGGAATCATTTTATTAAGAGAACTACGGAATATGCAGGGTGTCCCACAAAAAATGATACGTTTAAGTCGTGAAATTATAATAATTGCAAATAAACGCGATAAAGAGATAGGTAGAGTGTTTGCAATCACGGAAATTTGAAACGAAAAATTCAATTGAAATTGTGAAATAAATTTGATATATCAAATTTTTAATTGAATTATGTTACATACTTTTGAACGCCCTGTATAATGACGCACCCTTTTTTCCAGGTAGCTGGCAAAAACCGTAGACGCGGCAGCTTCGTTTAAATCATCGCGTTTTAACGAACGAATTAGGGGATTGCAGAATTTTAATTGGACGGCCGAAAAACAGCGTCCATTAGTAGACGAGAATATAGGAAGCACGACTGGCTGGTTTCTATCGTCGATAATGATAAAATAAAAAAAAAAAAATAAAAAATTCCACGACGAGCAGTCGCATTATTGGATTTGTAAATTAGCAATTTATGTTAAGCAGACCGGCCTGCTCGTTAGCGGTTAATCGCCATGTTTAATCAGCGGCTAGTAGCCGCCACTAAAATGTATTTACGAAATAACTGGTCTGACAAAAAAATCTATATCCTATTCACAAATTATAAGTAAATTCTGCACATTTATTTCCTTTTGCATTTTTACCAATCAACAGTTCTTTTCAGACGTCTATTTGTAGACTGTAAAGAAATTCATTTATGATAATTGAAATTACTCAAAACCTTTTTCAAGGAGCATTGTTTAGCAAATGTGAGATAGTAAAATCCGTGCCGGGGCCATTTTCCCATGCCAGACCCTACCACGACGATTCGTTCCGGTTCGAAAATTGAAATTCCATCAAAGTGATTCAATAAAAGATAAAGCACGTCTAATTTAATCCACACTTCGTATCACGTGTTGCGTGCATAACGCAAGCGAGGCCAATCATTCGATGCTCTCAACAAATATCATGTACCAGTGACCTTTCCATAATCGTGCACCTCCAACAGTTGATGCACGTTTCTCGGTAGAAGTTAATTGACGCGCTAACGACGAGATCACTTTTACAAGATCCACGCTACGTGGGCTGGTAATCGAAGAAAATTTATATTTTCATATACGGTATGTTATAGAAGTATTTGTGCCATCTTAATTAATGATTGATTACGCGTGGTACCAGCTTCGTAACGTGATCACGATTTTGGTTTGATAAATTACACGAACGCTACGATTCAACCAGAACGAGTGCGTACCATTTACCAAGACGCAAATTAACCGTAATTAGAGGAACGTATCCGGTGATGAAAGGTAAATGAGCAACGATCCCGCGGGTGAGACTGTTGACGGATTTACAACGTCATTGTCGCGGATCCGCGAGTTGGTGCTGCTATGCGAAACCTCGTCGAGGAGCATCTTGTCGAGGTCATCGACGAGGACCCCGGGAACGAGGTCACGTTGGGATTAGTGTTCCTGTTCGCCTACTAAACTAGCGTACCACTTCTATTCTGCCTACAATGCAGCATTGCATTTCCATCGAGCGCGTTTCTCGTGGGAAATCATTGTTTAATTCCAAACTAAATCTTCATCACAATTGTCTTTACCATTTTTTCTCGATTAAACTTTTCACTTAGGTTAATCCTTCTAAAAAAAGGATACTAATAATTAGTAGGTAAATAATTCCAAGTTGCGAGTATTTGAACATTCGACAGATGTTTGACTGTAATACAGGAAATAGCTACCAGATAGATGGATTCTTAATAAGCCCAAAACTATCAAGAAAGGTATGTATATTAGCGAGAAATATAGGAAAAATAAGGCTCACTAAAAGTATACATAAACTAACATAGAACGATATCTTCACTGATACAACTTGAATTCTGTGAAACTATTAACGAAAGGGGTACAGCCATAAACGAGAGATCGCATTAAAAGAATACAGGTACTAATTAACTAATTTTTCGCCAAGTATTCGAGAGATCCACTCGAATATTGACTCTAATGTACCATCAATCCTTATTTTTGCCGGGTTCAAAGTATTCTGGAGATATCAAATAGTGCTTCTTATAGCTTTAATAAGCCGTTAGACGGAAAGTTAACCGATATGGAGTTCGTACTGATTGCTCATTAAAGATATCGTAGAAATGAGTTGGAACTCGGAAATGGTTGCTTTTAAGAGTCATTTTGGCCAACACTTTTCTGTTTATCTCGATGAGTGCTATACCTGTGCGAAACAACGAGCAACCGTAAAGGTTGATCGTTTCAAGCTTTTAAATAGTTTTGATGAACGATCATTATTTCGTTGTTATTCTAACATCGGTACCATCGAATTGAACGAATCCCGTTCCCACATTCCCTATTTTTCGATTAACGATATCGTCCAAAGGAAAAACAAAGATAAAACCTTAAAAACAATCAACATTCCTCCTTACTTTACTATATTCCTCGTAGTACTGACAGGTTCTGTAAAAAGTAGTTCGGTCGGATCGAGGTTAAATAACGCTAGAACCAGTAATACTAGACGACTGGAGCGAGAGAAATCAATAGGGCGCGAGGTATTCTCGCGGATCGCAAGATTAATTATCACCAGGATACTCTGGCTGGATAGATGTTCGACGAACACGATTCGTGTTCGCTGGATGCACATTGTGCCACGAGTATATCGAAGGAAATAAGAGAACATTAGAATATTGTGCACGTATGGTAGAGAGGGTAATTGATGGGTCGAGAGGTGATCGTTCCTTACAGGATGGGTTATCATCGAAGCCGGTATAGTGGCTTTCAACTATCTTTACGATTACTTTTTACGATCGACAATTAATTGATAAGGAACGATACGAAGAAATCGCGAGAAATGAATTACTTCGAATTTCAATAATTATGAGTCGCGAATGCGAAACGGTACAACAGCGGTACGTTTTCGAGCAATATAAAGTCACAGTGATTCGGTAATAGGCCGCGCGGGTTCGTATATACCGGATTATACGAGCAGGCGGGTTTTAAGGGCCCGACATTCTCACGAATCGTTATCTTTCGAAGGTTCCAACGTCTCGGCGTGCACTGTCACTTTTCTCACGAGTGACGATGTCGGCGAACAATTACTAGGAACGCGATACAGGTATCAATACCGTTGACAGGTTAAATTGACCCTTTTAAACTCTGCGCAATTTCAAAGGCCGAGCTCCATCGAGGTAAAGATTCACATGGGTAAGGGTAATCGTGCGTTCGCACCGCCCAATTCTTTTCTAATAGGTCCGCTGCGCGAAGAAATACGCGAACGAAACTAAATGCGGCAAAGTAAGACAGGGATATCGAATATCGCTGTGCCCCATTCTGTCGTATTTCGTTTCGTTCGCGTATTTCGTCACGCAGCGGACCTATTAGAAAAGAATTGGGCGGTGCAAATGCACGATTAGCCTTACCCCTTACTCAGGAAGTAAGGTTTATTTAAACAAGGCCTATATCTACTTCGACTTGAAAAAGAAAACGATACAAGAGAATCAGCCAGCATTCGAGCTCAATTAAAGTACCCTGCAATTTCACTCTGACGTTTCACCGTATCGAGACGCAAAGAGGGGAAGGAAGAAGCTGAACGAAAGAACGAGCATGAAGCTTGACAGCAGGTGGTTCGAGGATCCAGCGAGTGTTCGACGAGACATGGAAGGGATACGGGATGGTATAAAAGAGGGAAGAATTGCCGGAAGTGCAAGTGGCGTGTTGCCGTGGTAGGTCAAAGATCGCGAAGCGGTGCTGACCCACTGCTTCGAGGGCTGTAAAACGCTGTTAAAACGCTTTTACTCGCTCGAACGACGGTACGGATCATCGCGCGAACCGAAGCAACGGTAATTTTACCGACGATCACGAGCATAAATTAATATCGCGGGTATATCTGATCGTTACCGCGAGCCCGGTCACGTATGAATTTAACCCCTCTGATCAGATCCGATCGATAACTGTTACGATAAGTATGAATATAAATTGCCAAGCACCGATCTATCGATCCGTCGATCGAGCTATCCGTTTTATTATAATAAAGAGATGGATGCATCTTCGAAAATGGCCAGAAAGTC